CGTAGTTCATATTTTCGTGCATTAATATTAAATGATATGCGTGAAAAAGAATTGCTCAAACAGGGTCCATTATCAATTGCAGACGTTAAGTACGATGCATTCGTTGAAATATTATATTTTTTATATAGAGAACCATTCCATACAAATTTATCCTTCGATCTATATATAGATTGTATGATCTGATCGCATCAATTTGACTGGTGCAAAAAATGCATCATTAAACGTGCATCATTTTTTGCATGGACAATGTTTCGTTGCATATTGTGATTTACAATCACACGTCGCACCACTCATTGAGGATCGAACAGACAATCAATGAACATAGTCTTGTCTATGCACTATTGCAAAGCCAGTTGAGAAAAATTCCAGAAGAAAGGAAATAGTTGCAAATATGCATTATTTCCTCAGTTATTACTGATCCTGATTCTTTTACAACTTTTAAGGTTACATCATGACTCATGGTCCTACTGACATTAATCGATTTTAAACATTTTTCTACTACGTACGGACAATACGTATAGCCGATGATGGCTGCAGTTCTAATCGAAAGTTTCTTGTTTTAAGCCACTCTCACTCCTCACGACAGAAAAGACGTGCTAACCACCGTCCATCGACTTTAGGAAACACACGGAAATTTTTAGCACTTGTGGTACAAAGAAAAACAGTTTACTCCCTAGGTCGAGAAGGTATAAAAGAAGTCTGGACTGCAACGAATAGAAAACTCTCACATCCTGTCGGACGTTCTTTATGTTTTACCCTAAACTACTAGTTTACCATTTGCATCTTGGAAACCAAGTTTAGCTGGTTTTGAATAACTAAGACTGGTTGTTATACTAACACCTAGATTAATATCCAGACTAAACGTTATTGATAAAGCTGCACTAATTTGTATATTAACTGGAATAATTACAATTACAAATGAGAAGGTTCCCAGTGTTTGTGAGAGACTTGTGGGGCCATTTTACATGTTGTACAATACATTTTGTTAAACTGGCTGTAACTGCCTTGTATTTACTATTGGTTACCAAAAACAGTTTGAAGTCATTTACACCATAAGAAAGACCCCCTTTTAAAAGACATGATTTTGTTAAGTTCTATGAGATGATTTATTACTATGTGACAATTATCAAACTTGTTAATCATATCCTGCTCATAATACAAGATCTATTATTAGGTGAAGGACTGGAGATTAAGTTCCGTAGTTTTGCTGAAACACGATTTACCGATTAAGCATCTTACAATAAATCGTGCTTGAGCATGGAAATAACTAATTGTGAGTTAAAAATTCTGATTTTAACTTACTTCCAAATGTGCCTTCTTTCTAAAAAGTCTTTGTTGTACAGACCAAGTGCTTTTAAGCCTAGATCTACCACTGCTGTCACAACTTGTTTCACAACAGCTACGACCTTTGTGACAAGTGACTTAAAAGCTTTTTTTCAATAGAGGAGAAGATACTTCCTTGCTTTTGGATTAGTGTTGCCGGTATTGTAGTCGATAGTGACGATGGTGCAGTATTGACATTTTCCGGATAAGAGTCTAATAAGCGAGCTGCATTTTAATGAAATTTAACATTGACATTTTTAAACAAATGTACTAAAGATAAATGATGTGTGTATATTTCAATTTTTCTTTGTTTTAAATTAATTTCATAATCTGTAACTAAGCGATAAAAACATTTGTTTGTCATCACAACGACCAACTAATTTTGTTTATTAGACAATTAAAGATCTTTCAAAATTTTGCAAATCTTGTATCTGTGAAAATTGAAGAGATAAACTTTGCAATATTTTATCAACACATTTAACAAATGTAATTTTTTCATCCAAATTTATATTTAAGCAGTTATGATGATGTTCAACATCATATTCCATGACTGCATATGGTGTCAGACCGTTATCCATTTTATGATCTATTCCTATCCACTCAACAGCATGTTTAACGCGGTTACTTTTCGCAAAATCCGTGAAGCAAAACAAACAACAATACGTCTTATCAGTGATTCATAGCAACCTAGAAGTTAGTCTCGCTCTAGATATTTTGTTTTACTTTGTATACCTTTCTTTATGTTTTAGCATTTACGTTTTAGTATTATCAACTTTCGTCAGTTTAATCAGACTGTTCTTTTAGTTAAAAACATAAGAATCATTGGTTTTTTCTGTTTTTTTTGCTATGCTATATATTGATACGCTCGTAAGCACTTGCATTTTTATTAACCATCGTTGAGTTAACAGTCGATTTCGTGCTAGCTTCATCTATCATTGTATCACAAACAAGCAACCAAGTAATAAACATCAGTTAAGAGCAACGTTTTTAAAAGAAATTAGAAACTAATAGAGCTAAGTAGTTTATCTCTCTCCTTTCTTTTCTGTACTCCCTTTCTCACATCTATGAAGAATTTTGTTTTCTGTACAAGTTATACAAAAGTTTCGTTGCAAATTTTATGTTACATTCGAAAAGATACTGTATGGTCCCTAAATTATTTAGTTTTATGAGAAGAAACTTAGTTGGTAATATAATTTTGAGGATACCTGTCATGCTAACAAGCTTTATAATATGTTCTCTTTTACAAAAATAATCGTTTTGAATTTATCTTTCAGAAAAAACCAAACATGTTAGTTTTTCGATCGTACTTATTCCTGCTGTGTTTTATAATAACAATAACTACAATACTAATAGTGAAAACAGTACATGCTGAGTAAGCTAGTTTTCTAGTTTTATGTCTGTTGAACAAAGGCGAATTATTCTTTATTTGTTTTATAGAGATACATCGGAGGATGTAGGGTTAACGCCAGCAGATGAGGAGATGCTAGATCGAGAATTAAAACCATTTAACATTTACGCGAAATATGACGGCACGTATGATACTGATGTTGAAGATGACGATGATGAAGATGACGAAGAAGAAGAGCAATCGAACACACGAGAAAGAAGAGACCTTACATATGAGAATTTTACATGCCCGTGGACTCAACTTGGTAAAAACTGTACACCAGGTTTGAAGGCATGGACAAAAGAACGATGTGGGGTGGTAAATAGTTAGAAATAGTATGAGTCTGTTTCGTATTCTGTTGTTGTTATCATTTAGCTTATAGATACATCATCAACGGGTATCTTTAGTAAATGTCTTAAAGCTATACCAGACAAAACAGTTGGCCCAAAACTGCATAAAAGTTGTCTGATTTTAACATGTCGGTAAGTGTACAGAGCATAGAACTGTCTATGTCAGTTCAGTAGTAATCGATCCATTATCATTAGATGTCAAAAAACACACAGTGTAAGAGGTTTATGCTACATGTTATCATATATGGAACAAAGTTGTAATATATTTAATGCCTCTAGTCCTCGTTGGTGGATAAAACCTGGTTGCAGTGAGTAGAAGCAACGACAATGTGCTGCTACTTGTAAATAGCCCCATATCTATTTGTTAGATAAAGCCGCGGGCACTCCAAGACCACCAATACAGCCACAAAACGCGACTACAGTACGACCAACGACTACAGCTCCAATAAAACCATTACCGAAGGGCAAAGGTAGTCGAACCATAAAAAACTGGCAGCACTCAAAATACAAATGAACCTATCTTTTTGTTTTAGATGCTTGTATATTGAGTTATTATATAGCAAACGCTACATATGCAGTTCCGGGTGTAGTAGATCCGCAGAGTAACGATGTACTCAAAAACCTGGTAGGTATTAACGTATAAAAATCCACCAAGTTCACGATCGAAAATACGCGTTTACCAAGTTAGCCAAATAGAGTAAATGAAGAAACCTTCGTAAAAAATCCAGTTTTAAAAAGTAGATCCATATTTTTAACTATATCGTCCACAGATTTAACAGGTCTTAGGCAAACCTTGTTTGGCAAAAAAAACGCTTTGATGTGCGTTAATTTCTAACGCATTTAGCAGGATAAATTGTGACGTTTTCACGCGTTAGTTTTAACGCGTTTGTATTCGTTGACAATCAATTAAAATGAAAAAAAATAAAATTCAACATCAAATTAAATTCTGGTACATGTCTGTATGCATCGCTATGCATACAAACGACTATACAACTTAGTAGAGTGACAAAGTACAGAAAAAAATAACTTAAACTTACATGACTTCAGTGTGATTAGAACGTCGGTATCTAGAATTAAGAAGTAAAGACATAACTATCTGAGCTAAAAGACGATCAAAACATATACAGTGACAACCCAGATGATTCAGCACGGATAGTAAGCGATCGTAAACGTTAAATTCCATCAAAATACTGCAGTCATAAACGGTCCGTGATACGGTTCCGTGTAAACGATGGAATTCGGTAGGTTACGACCGTTGTTTATTGTCGTTAGCGTAGAGCTGACCTCGATTTTGATCTGCTATCGACAGTGTCAATTTCAGAAGAAAAAAACAATTTTTTTCAAAATTTCAAAAATTTTGACCAAAAAATGTTTTCTTTGAGTTCTGGATATCGAAAAACCTTTGAATCTGAAATTCAAATAATTTTTAGTTAATAACTCCATTTAGTTCACCTCTACATGATAAAACAGAGTTATAATAGCACAGTCAGATTAGCCGAGTGGTTAAGGCATCGGGGAATCGTAAAGTAGTCAACTAGAACGTTCGTCACCAATGCTTTCGTCACTGACGAACGTCAAACCAATACCTCCGTCACTGACCAAAGTTTTGTCGGACTTTTGTCAACTGACCAAAGTTTGCTTTACTTTGGTCAGATGACGATCAACCGTATTGTCGGACTTTTATCAGTGACAAAAGTTGCGCAATTGATATATAATTTATATAGTATCGCTAGAATCAGTTAGTTATTAGCGCCAATCTAATATTCTGCGAATGAGGCGGAATGGCTGAGCCCCAATCCTCCGTGCGTCAAACAGAACCGAACTGATCATCGCTACATCCTGAGCGTCACTGACGGCAAAGCGATATTACAGCGAGGATACTCACAATTGTTATAGTATCAATCTTTTATGCATTTCTCACTTCTGTGCAGTTTTATTTTTGAGATCTTTACACAGCAAACATTAACTGAGTCTATACCAAGGGGG